GCTCTGGGTTGCAGCTGGAGTCACACAGCCAGACATCCATTAAGGAGCATTTACATGAAGAGTGTTTTCATGGATGGTATCTCAGTGAGCTGATAATCAAGACAACGCCTCAGTCCGATCTCCACTCTGGGTCTTGTAACTCTGGAAAACCCCTGTTTTGAAACACTCCTTTTAAAACAAACCATCCCGTGGTCCTCAGCATTGTCCCTTTGCCAACCGCACATCCCTCACATCACCGTCTCTGTGTAAACCACAGATAACAATAGATCCAGCCACCAGCTGGGCTGGACTAGACTCCCTGGGAGCAATTCTTCCAAAGGGACTCAGTCTTGAGAGTCTCTCTGATATTTTTACAGATACCTTCAAGCATCCCAGAAGTGGTGACCGGATCATCCCAGAGCTGATTAGAAGCCGAACCCTCTGCTCTGCACATTTGGGTCACACAGAACAAAGGCCAAAAAAATGAAGGATGACAACTACAGAGAGAACAACAGGGCTTTAAATGCTACAGGACTGATGTAATTTTTCCTCTGACCCTAATTTTGAGCCTTGTCATCTTTGATATCACTAGTTTGCAGCAAGAAGAGAAATTCTACGAGGTTGGCTTGAGATGGGGTTAACTCCGAGTAGGTGACAGATCCTGTGAGCAGGTACAAGCGAGCAGAGCAATTTGCAGAGTGACTGGCAGGAGAGTTCAGATTGTACCAGAGTATTATCACACCAACTTCCTCGCTTGTATGCCATTTATTTTAGGTACTTCCACAGCCCCTCTGAACACACATTTATCCTCACAATACCCATAGCACAGAGCTATTATCCCCACGTTGCAGATGGGGACCAGAGGCACAGAACGACCAAGTGACTTGGTCAAGGTTATACAGGACATCTGTGATAGAACAGGATATTGTGCCCAGGTGTCCAGCCTTCCTCCCCTGGGTCAGTAACGTGTTGGCCCTGTCCCTAGGAAAACATCTATTTACCTCCCCAAAATAGAAACATTCAGGGGAGGGGGATGAGGTTATTTTTTAAAGTGCTTTTCCTGTGTTGATGTGAAAGGACCATGATTGACAGTTCTAGCCCCCAGACTCTAATTTGACAGAGATATCCCGATAGTTATAGAAGTTGGTGTTTCCAAGCTGTCTCCATCCCTGTTGCTGTTCCCATTCATCTGCGTTAACATTTTGTTGGCGTTATAGTCTGAAAGATCTGGTCTTGCAGCTCCAGTGAGCTTGGGGATTTCTAGCATCCTGCAAGATGTATCCATGCAGAGTAAATTAAAATGTGACTGCTTCAGCAAGATGCAGTTTGAATGCTCTACAGAAATTTGGAGAAGACTGAACTCTGGTGCTAGTGGCAAACATTCCAAGCAGTGGGAGAAAGCTGATGATCTCTGTTACAACTTCTTAGTAAGTTTTGTTTTGGGCTATCAGGGATCTTTTTTTTCCAAGGGATAGTTTATACATAAATTGATTTTTTTTTAATTGAGACATAGACTTAAGTCCAAAATTCAACTACAAGGAAGCATCTAAGGAGAAAGTTCACTTTCAGTGCCTCAAGTCTGACTAGTATCCAGCAGGGGAATATATTCCAATGTCTTAAATCTAGGTAGATCTACTCCATAAGCACCACGTTACCCGGATCATGTCTACACATGCTTTTACGTGCACCTAAACTTAATGCATACTTGCCTAATGTGTATTAAGGCAATTCAGGCGCATGTCTACACGTGTACGCAGTAAGGTGCATTAACACGGTGTGCGTACCGACTTGAGACTATAGTCCTACATCAGTCAACATACAGGGTGTTAATGCGCCTTAGTGCATCTACATGTTCATTAAGGCACTTTAATTATTTGCGCCTAAATTTGATACCTGCTTTTGCAGGTATCAAATTTAGGCACAAATAGCCTAAAATTGCCATTCTTAAGGCACATTAAGACTGCACATGTGTAGACCTGTGCCCCTAACATGCCTTAAAAATGGCTAATGCATTTTAAATTAGTACATGTAGACATGCCCTCAGTTCTAGATAGCTCATGGACAGGATAGGGCACATTGACCCCAAGGGATTTAACAGGTTTGTCTGCTGCTGTTAGTGCACAGCACTTTGCCCATAGCCATATCCAATCCAGCTGAAAACTGGGGCATTCCTTTTGCCCATATTAAAGCCTAGACCATATGAATGTTGAAATGTATTCTTAAATGTATGCACTTCAGTAGTGTCAATGATGTGTGTGTTTACATGTTCACACCCCACTTTTGTCACTATTGGTTACCACCCTTAGGGTTGAAAGCATTATTTCCAGTATTATCTTCATGTTAAAATGTAGTTTGTTTAATTCTAATTGAGTACCTGAAATTTTGAAATATATTACAACTACTTCCCCAGGGATCCTAGAAAGATGTCAGCCAATCAAAGGGATAATTTGCAGCCTTCTCCAATTCCTGGGCTTATTCATTCAACAAAGCACTTGGGCATGTGATTGGGCCATCTTACAAAAGCCACTTAAACAGCTGCTTATTGGGACTTCAGTTCCTGCTTAGGTACACTGCTGAATCAGGGCCACATGTTGCAGATGCTTCAGGGCAGATATTGTGTGTCCCTATGTGTTTGCAAAGCATCTAGCACAAAAGAGACCTTAATTCTGCCTAGACTTTTTGAGTGAAACTGTAAATACAAACAATGATGTAACAACTAGATGCTTGAGGGAGCAAACTTGCTTTGATTTTAGCAATCTACTTATTTGTTTACTGGTTTGAGCTAATTGAGTAAGCATTTCTGGATCAAGAAGCCCCCACTCCACCCCCTCAAAGGCATTTTTTTTGTAGCTAACCATGTAAAACTGCTTTCCTTAGAGTTGTAGCATCAGGAATCATCATTCGATTTCTAAAGAGCAGTGCTGAATAGTCCACCTCTTGGCTAAACCCTATCTGAACTGGATGTATTTATTTACTGAGGATCTTTCCCAACCTAACTATGGCAATTTTGGTCCTATTTTTATGATCCTGGTTTGAGAAAGCAGCATTTGAGGAATTTGCACTGCTCTCTGTGAGGGTTTTGCCTGGATAAAACCCACAATGAGGGCTCAGATCTGCTTGATCTCTCTCCTTTGATACAGTTATTACCCGCTCGGAATGGGAGATACGGGATAATAGCCTCTGAAATGCCCCACTAGAATTCCAGGAGAAAGCCTTTCTGGGATGGGGCTGTCCTAAAGCAGAGATGAGAGAGTGTTTGGTGAACTGGCTGAGAAACCTAAGATCTAACCATAGTGGGAATGCTAAAGTCAATTTAGTCCATGGACCTTTAATGGCAGTAGCTGAGGTTTTGGATGGGTGAAATTTTGATCAAAACTCAGTATTTCTCCCTCCTGCCCTAATATTTTTTTGGTTTCTTCTCTCTTTCCCTGGGTTAAATCCTCTCTGTCGAGAAGCCAGAGTAATCACCATCATTACAGAACTGCAATGCTCCCTTTTCTGTTTCACTGAATCTCTTTAGCCATCATGTAAGATACACCTGTTGCACAAGTCATATGATCTCTCTCTGGTTGGTTTTTCACTTTCAGTGATGCCTAAGTCTTCAGAGGGAAAAATCACATCCAGTTTCTACTTATCCATGAAAGGTCCTCTTTATACCATATGATCCTATTGAATGTGGCAAATGGTAAGTTTGTTTGGACATAGATCATGCCTTTATGGTCCTGAACTGTAATGAATAGGCTTGTTGGTACACAACAAATAATATGGACCTGACCCTTGAAATCTGTACCTGTCCTGCCACAACAACAGGTTGGGCTTTTCTTTCTAATACCCTATAATGGACTTCACCCTGCACAGAAGGAACAAGCTCATAACAATATGGTTACAATGGAATGAAGAGGTCTGGAGTTTCTTCTTCCCCATTATACCTCCATTCAGCTGTGGAAGTGGGCTCGTTCATTTCTGAACGTATATTTCTTCACCATTTGACTTTGTTTTTACTACAGTTAGTCCTATCAGTTACGAGTAGGGACTTGGAAGAAAGGGAAGGAAGGCTGTAGTGACTTGTAAAATACATACAATGCCAAGAAACCCAGCAGCTGTTGTATTAATGGCATAATATTAAAAACTGGCAACGGACATTTTCAACTCTTAAAAATCCGTTTCTGAATACCTGGTTTAAAAAAAAAAAAATTGACAGGGGGTGAGGTGGGAAGATGATGGGAAGCCCAGATCATGGTTGGTGGGTTCGTTTTTCAACAACACATTCTCCAAGGCAGACATTCTAGACTAATTTCCATACTGCTAAAGATTAGAGATCTATAAAATGATACCTGCCCCGCAGAAGTGTTCTTGTGAACCACTTTAATCCAGAGCAATATTAAAACCTAGGCCAGCTGCCTGTGCAGGGGCCAAACTAGAACCTTTTCCCATTAAAACTAGAATTTGACTAGAACCTCTGCAAACTTTGGTTGATCTCACTGAGATCTAGTAGGTGCCAAACAGTAGCACAGATCTGAACCATCCCATAAAGCCACACTTTACAAACTTACAGTACGGCAAAGAAGCCTGAGAAGGAAGGTGTCTTCAGCTCCTCTCCTGCCCCAGAAATGACACAGGGGAATTGAAGTCTCAGCACTTTTGACTATGCTAGAGAAGTACACAGCAGGGTTTCATTCTCTGCCTACCTGCAAAACCCAGGCGGACACATCCCTGGTGCTGGCATGCAGACTTTGCAGTATATTCACCATAAAAACGCACTGGCGATGCAAAGAAAATTGGAATATTCAAGTGGATGAGGCAAATGTATCCTTAAGTACAACACCAAATCAATTTTGGTGTCAGTAAGAGATCAATGGCCAGGACAGGAAGTGCCTAGACAAAGTATTTCCTTTATAATAAAAACTATAGTCTGGGAAGCGAGAACCAGATTTACAACCATTAGCTGGAGCAGCTTTGCTCCCAAACAGCTTAGAGTCTAGGGCTAACCCTACCAATAGCAACACAGACCAACACACTCACCAGGTGCAAAACACATCCATTTTAATTAAAACCACGATGTCAGAGAATGTGGGGAGGTGCTGCATCCGACACTGAAACAGCCCTGGGGTAGCGATTCAGATGGTGAGGTGCATGCACATTGGAGCCATGGTGCAAAAGGGACAGAACCCAAACAGGCTGGCAGTGGAGATCTCCTGGGAATGGGGAAAGGGATCAAGGAACAGGAGCAGCCCCTTGCCAAGTTATGGAGGGCAGGTAGGAGGTGGAGTGACAGGATTCACATAAACATACCTGTTTCAAAGCCAAAATCCTTAATGGAATGAGTGCCCCCTTGAGTCCTGCCTAATGGCTCCAGGTCAGCATCTCTGCCTCTTTCCCAAAGCCAGAGGAATGTGCTGTCACTGATATAGGAGTGCTACCAACCCCCAGCGCAGGGCAGGGAACACACCTCCCCATATCCTTTTGGCATTCTTCTGTACATTGTTACTGAACTATTCAGTTCAAAACAGTGTGTTATAGATATGTAGGACAAGATTGTCTCCAACTGAGTCAGGAGCCCAATTCCCATTAAATCCCCATGCCAGCTCTGAACATCTCAGGCAATGCGTCTCACCCGGTCTTTCAGGCTGGCATTAATAGACCCATTTTACAGAATGGTAGAATTGTCCAAGCTCACACAACAAGGCAGTTGGAGGACCCTCTAAACTGCACCTGAAACACAGAACTTGCAAGTCCTTAAACTCAGGTTTTAAAAAGATAAAAATAAAATCTTCCCCTAATTCACTTCCATGGTGATTTGGAAAGTAGAGTCTACACCTGGATCCAGGTAAAGAGTCAGGCACAGAGCAGAACTCAGCTGGGGGCTTCCCACATTTTGTTTAAAATGCAAGCTTATAAGCCACTATTTAGAAAAGACACCGACAGATTCTTCTCAGCTGCAGCTGTCCAGCACTGCGCACCAGCTCAGGCCCAGAAACGTGGAGCCAAGGGGACAGTGGCAGCAGCTCTGGAGGGTTTTGCCACTTTAGCTCCAGAACCACCTGCATCTTCATGTACATCTCCTTCTCAGACTTCCTCCCCCAGCAGCAGGGCACAAGCCCTGGGGAAGGAAGAGGCCAACCTGAGGGGACCGAGTCAGAGAAAAACTGAAAAACCCAGTTCCAGGAACAGATTCAACTTCTTTCCAAACTAAATAGCAAAAAAGGGGCTGAGAGGAGAAAAATTAAGCAGGCTAGGCATGGGTGGCAGCAATGGGAGAGACTCAGCTTTGCATTATCTTTAATGTTGAAAACCTTCCCTTGCTCTTCCCAGCAGCCACCACATCCTAGCACCCTCTTACACTCCAAACCCCTGTTTAACAATAACCCAGGAGTAAGATGCCCCTCTCAGACTAGAGGCTCATAAAGAATCTTTGACAGACACAAGGAAACAACTGAGATCTTCCCCCCAAACCCACCCCTGTTTCTTTACTGCTTTTCCCTTTCTGGTTCTGCTCGTTACCAGAAGATGTGTATTGAATCCAGTTAACTTAGACATAACATGAGCTTAAGCCACTGGGGGATCTGGGAGCATGGAACCACTGTAGGGAATCAAGCGAGCTATGCAGGACTGCTGACAACCCGCCCTTCGTGGGAAACACCCAGTGCGCCCAATGCTTTAAATAAGGTTTGAGTAAATATTCTTAGCATATATCCCAGTGGAGAGGCAGTTCTTCCAGGGAATGACTGAAGGGAAGGCTTAGTTTGAAGGATGTGATAGATTGCCCAGGGATATTTACACAGATTTTGTTTCCAGCAGTTAAATAAATATATTTAAAGCCAACATGCCCTACACTGCGCAACGCCTCCACTATCACATGTGGGGATGTGCAATTTAATGGGAAGATCCCTTTATTATGGACCTGCTGCTACAATTTATAATCAAGCAATAGCAACCACAAGGACATTCAGGCCACCCCTGCAGTAGTGGCTGCTAAACATCAGAGGACAGGGTGAGTGCAGTGAAGTGGGCTGTGCCCAGCCCATGCTGATCCCAAAGCACGATGAAAGAGCGGGCACATGCTGTGCCTATGTGCTACAGAAGGGGAGGAAGAAGCCTGCTCAGGAATCTCTAAAACAATGTCTTGCACAGCCACTCCCATGGATCCCAGCCCCCCAAGTGGTTAAAAATTTCCCCCAGGGCACCTCTCTGCTTCCAAAGCTAGCTCAAATATTCCCAAGCCCTGAGCTGATAGGGGTGGGACACCCAGCTGTAAGTGGGAGAGGAATACTAGATGGTGAAGACAAGGAAATTTGCTGAGGGAGTAGGGAGGAGAGGAAGCCAGCTTTACCCAAGAGAGGGGAGAGATGGCACTCTGTTTTCTAGTGACCCACAGGCATTACCTAATACTTCCTCTGCCTCTTTAAGAAAGCCTCTTCCAGACAAAGCAGCCGCACAGAGATGAGGGGACCCGAACATGTGTGCATGCTCACACCCCACAATGGCACTGGTTTCCCCAAACAAAACATCAACAGGAAACTTCAGTGAACTTCAAAGGGGAAACTGCAGTTAGCACCGCCCCACCACACACACGCGCACACAAACAGACACACACACGGGCCTTCCTCCCCCTCCCCATCCTCTTCCTCCAGAAAGTAAAAGCTGCGCTCTTCTTGTAAAAAAGCAGAAGCGGTATCTCCTACCCGAGCCCCACCTGCCTGCCCAGGGCAATACACAGCAGCCCTATGATCAAAGGAAAGTGTAAGGTCGGACACCCTGCGGGCTAGAAGCACAGCACTGGCTTTGTCGCTTCCCAGAGTCACCATGGCGAGTACTTGCAGGAACAGCTGCTCTTGGTCGTTTCTTCCATGCAAGGCCAATAAGTGCTTTGGAACTCTGTCCATTCGCAAACAAGGATTTGCAGGAATGAATGGGCTGTTTTACTGGAGCAGTGAGGAGGAGGAGGGCGGAGGGAAGAGGAAGAGCACCACGCTGGGTCTCCGCTACATTGGCTCTCCTGTGGCTTCCTTAAGATGTGACAGGCTGGATAGGAAGCAGGCTGCCAAACTTAAAATGCTGGATCACAGGGAACTTTTCCAGGCACTGCAGGAGGAGAGAAGGAGAGGTGTGAATTCAGTGTGTTGCGAGCAGGTGGCCACACCCACCACAAGCGAAGGAAACCAGGGACATTTCTGCTCCCACAAACCACCAGCATCACCCGGTTCCCAAGAGGAGTCTGGGTCTCAGGTGCCCAAGCAGACAACAAGCACAAACCAGCTCAGCTCAGTCCAGCCCAGGGAAGGAGGAGGAACAGCTTCCTTAAGTCTCTCCTGGGAGGGCCCATCTGACTGCTCTTCCCCTGGCTTGCTGCAGTCACTGCAGGCTTCATTTTCAGAAGCGCTGAGCAGCCGGAGCCCCATTCTCTGCAGTTGGAGTTTCAGAGTCCAGGCCCCAATCCAGGAAGGGCCATTTTCCTCAGTAGCACTCGCTCGCTTTCTCTCATTCAATATTTTTAAGCTCACCCTGGCCAACCAAGGATCTAGACTCATAGAGGGACATTTGAAGATGCCAAAACCCATGTGGGGAAGGCCCCGCAAGTGACATTTTCTAGCACAAAGTTCCCCAGGTCAATGATGCAGGTGTTATCATGTATGAGCGGGTGCCTTTCTGTTCCACTGGAGATATCCGACAGCCCTTCTCCGAACAAGCCAAGATTTCATGTAGCTGTCATGCTCCCCAGGCTTCTCCTGTCTACATTAGCTTTCCCAGTCCTTTTGCTCTGTTTTCTCACAGAAGTCTCTCCGGATCCCTAATCACTTAAGTACCCTTTTCTGGATCCCTTAGATGTGGTTTAAGTCTGCCTGGGCATCATTTGGAACTACATTTGCTATCGCACCCCTTTTCCTGTCAGCGCTGATGCAACTCAGGCCATCTGTCAGTACAATAACCTAGGCAGCAAGAGGCTGCTCATCCCCAGAGAGTCAGCTGGACAGGACCTGCCTCCCAGGGAATGGGCACAAGTAGTGCACAAAGGCTGCACTCATCACCTGTTATTGTCCAAGGAAGAGAAAGGAGGAGGGACGGAGAAGAGAAGGGCTCCCAAAAGTCAGCGAAGTCTCCGTCTGTGGTACAGGTTTGCGATGTCCAAGCCAGGAGGGCAACTCTTAAGACAAACAGCCTGTGCCCCTCACAAAGGATGTTTCCAGAGAGCAGGCTGTGGGCAGACCAAGCCCAAGGAAAAGGAGGGAGGGTGCAGGTGAGTGAGAAAGGAGCACACTGAAGAGAAGAGGACATGTAAAGCAAGAATCCATAAGGTAGGGGTGTCCAGGCAGGCACTAACCATATGACAGCTTCCCACCCTTTGGCACTGATCAGACAGCTTCTTGTTTAAGAGAAGCAAGTTCAGGAGTGATAGAAATGGTCACAGCTATGATGGGAATGCGATCCACTTCCCACAACTGAACAGAACAGGATTAAAACCGGTGGGGCTTAACCCAAAACAGAGTACCTGGCAGGCAGTCAGAGCATGTAAGCTTTGGTGCACTATGAAAAGGTATTCATTATCAACAGTTCTCCATGAGCCTGGCCAAGCATCTGGAATACCCTAGCCAGGCCTGTCTCTGGGCTACTGTAGCTCTCTCCTAGCACCTGGCTTATCCCAAAGAAAGGTATCTCAAATTGATCCTCCATACAGCACAGAGATGCACAAGGGATTCACGTGTCTGTGCGCAGATGCCTCCACAGCTCATGGTGGCAACAGCTGAAGGAGTGGACATACTCTGCACCAACACAGACAGCAGGTCTTAAGGGCCTTCACTTCTCCTGGGGCACAAGGGACTGATGCCAAGCAAAGCAGGGCCCCTTCATTTACAGTTTCAGTTAGACTCCCCACAAAACAGCACTGGATAAATCAGTAAGATTTTTCAGTATAAACAGGGGTGTCCACTTCATTGCATCCTGCCCAGGCTTCAGGAAAGCTCTCTTTCATGGCACAGTGGGACACCTAGGCCATCACAGCCCAATACCTTCATCTTAACCATCTCATTTCTCCAGCCAGGAACTAACAAGAGTGCTCCCCCCTTCCCAGTCTCCTGTATGCAGGAAGCTCAAAGAGAATCCCATGCTTGCTTATTCCAAATCATGGAGAAAAGAAATCAATGTCACTGCACTAGTGGGTCCTCTGGCTACCTGAGGGAGAGGAGCTTGTTCCTGTTCTCTCAGCTGGAGTCTTGCCTGGATCTGGGTTGTGTGCAACTAGACCAGGGGTGGGCAATTATTTTGGGCAGAAGGCCGCTTACTGAGTTTTGGCAAGCCATCGAGGGCCGCATGACAGGCAGCCAGGGGCAGATAAATATATTTTTTCTAAATTTTGTAGGTGTCCCACGGGCCAGATAGAAAGGCCTGACAGGCTGCATTTTGCCCACCCCTGAACTAGACAGTAGTAGGAGAGGTATTTAACAATTTTTTAAAAGATACATCAGCTTTTATGAAATTAAAAACACAAAGCCAAGTCTCACCAACCCCTTCATGTAGCTCATGGCTCTACATTCAACTAATTTTAAAGGAAAGAATTACATAAAGATCTGGGTATGGGGTCGATGCTCAAGTGCACTGGAAGGACAGCCCTATCTAGACACTAGGCAAAAGTGCCTTTCACCCAACAGTTGAGTTCAATGCCTTGAGGCCAGACTGAACCTTAATCCTAATCTCTCTTCAACGAACACTCAACACACTGCAGTGGTGAGACCCTTAGCTCAAGATGTGACAGGACTGCTGCTGTTCACGTGCTCTCCACTGCAGTGCATCCTGCAGTGCCTTGGGTTGGAAGTTACCCAGAAGATCCTGCTCCCAAACAAGGTGCGTACTCCAGAGCTTAGTTGCAGAACTCCCAGAATGCCCCAGTGCCACCCTAACCATAAGGCAAGCTACAGGAATGCTCCAGAACATGACCCCAGCATGGCTACAAGGATGCACTGAACCATAACGATAGAGCCAGCTGCTCCATGCATCCACTGTCCCCAAGATGGGTGCTTGGCTCAGAGAGAAAGCCATCTGGGACCCAGCCTGTGCTTGGAGAAGAATGCTGGTGTTCACCACAAATACTGCAGCCAAACAGGAAAAAGAAAAACCCAACTGCAGGGGAATTTGAGCCCTGACCCTTTCTAAAAGCCCCATCTCAAATGGCTCACTTCTCCCTGCTGCAGCCTGCCTGCCCCCTGGCCCAAGGCTGAGACCCTTCCTAAGTCATTTCCTTTAAGCACAGTTGATTACGAATCTGAGAGCAGTGAAGCCAGTGTGAGTGTACCCAGGAAGTCACCAGGCACTGCAAAAGCAAGGGCCCCTCATCTCCCACAGGCTAACCTGAAGCACCCATAGCTGATGTGCATTTAGACACCAATTCTTTGGGGAATGGAAACGGCATGTTAAGGACAGCCCACAATCCCCCCATGCGGAGCACAGAGAGAGCTTACAGCCAGAGGCAAGCAGCTGCCATTGCACTGTCGTCATAGAGAAGCAGTGGGATCCGAGAGGAGGTTAGGCCCATGGAATTCCAGTTGGGGGCCAGGGGTCAGGCTGTTTCCAGCACAATTTAACTTCCTGAGAGCAAGCTGCAGCCAGAACAAGTCTGCAGAGTCCTGAGACCAGAGTGAGGTGCAGAAGGGCTGAGTATCTGCTGGGGAAATAGTAATCACACAGACAGCCTCAGGGCTCCTGAGGGAAGCACCAGAAAGGAACAGGCCCTGTTCAACCAGGGTTTGGCAAGAAGGTTTCCCATATTCCTTCTAGCACCAGCAGACATGTTGCTGATGGCCTTGGCTGGTTTGGATCTTTAATGAAGAAACCACTAAAGCAAAGAATGTTATTTAGTCCACAAAATGATCCCCATGGGTCGATGCAAAGGCAAAGTGAGATGTGGAGCTCTACAAGAGATGGGGACGCCTTTTCCAATCACACTAGAAGAAGAGGATGGGGGCAAGAGCTCTCTTATCCTCCAGGAACAGAACTTCTGCTGGGTCACAGGGAACTCCAGAACATGGGGCCCCCTTTGCACTGCCTGTACATCAGGCCCTGCCAATACACAAACAGACCCACTCAGAGTGGATCATCTCACTCTGCTGATTCCCTCCAACTCTCAGGCTTAAGCCTAGTGTAGGAATTAACTATGAAGTTGGTTTCAAGTGCAGCCTGGGCAGATAGGATTGAGTTACACCAGTCATACTAGACAGCATTCTCTGTCTGACTACAGCCTGGAGGGGACAGTCATGAGACTCAGAAGCAGACAAGAGAACACACTGAGGGCTTGTGCCTTAATCACACTCCATTTGGTCAGCTCCACCTTCCTTCAATGGGAATAACACTTAAAAAAAAAAAAAAGCCTTCTCTCCCCCCACACACCCATTTTAATATACAAGGCAAAAGAGGCTGTTTTCAATCCTCTGCCCATCCACAGACTTCACTACACAAATCCTGAGAACATTTCCTGCCCACAAGGGAATGAATTCTACTTAGTTTACATTTGTTGCATTCAGGGGTGTCAACAAGGGGGGCAAAGCGAGGCATAAGCAACAGTTCACCTTCTAAATGATTCAGGCCTCAGACTTTTGCCCATTGTGGTGCTGCTGTTTTGTAACATCAAATAGTTTTTAAGCAGATGGACATCTATCTTCTTCAGGATACCCACTAGCAGTTCACCTTCCTGAGGCCTCCACTACCTGGGAGGATGAAGGGGCAGCATTTGGCATCTGCAGGGCACCAAGTGCTTCTCCCAGGTACAGCAGACGCATACTCAAGAAGCTGTTAAATAACTGGAACGTTGCTGGCTTGATGCCTCCATAGTGAAGTTCTAGTTTAATCTAATCAGCTTCAAGCAGTTATAAGGGTTTGGGGGGGGGGCCAGGAAGAGGAGGGAAGCGAAAAAAATCAGTAACCTTGCTTAGATCTCAGCCTGTCTGAGAGAAAAAGAACAAGAATATGAACACAAATCCGCCACATCCTCACTCCTCCAAGGCTCCATCAATAGTAGCTGCCTGCTAGGGGAATGAATGGAGCGTCAAGCCAGCAGTTGGGAGTTCTGTTTACCCAAGTATCTTCTGCTAATGTTGGCAGGATGTAAAAGAGGAAGCAAGGGATGGCCAATGCCACACAGTGGGGAAAAGGAAAACAAACTGGCTTCTACAGCCAGCAGCTAATGAAGCAGATTTTCAAGGGTGATTTTGCACACCCAACTTAAGATACCTCCAAGGGACCTGACTTTCAAAGGACAGATGCTCTATACTTTCTAAAAGCCAGGCCCTTCCAAGGTATCTGGCCCTGAAGTGGGAACCCACCGAGTGCTTCAAGAAGTCACTGGTGTGCATAGCCACCTCTGTTAGAGCCAAAGGCAAGGCCCAACCACCAGAGGCATGTACTGTGCTCCCATCTACTCTCACAAGCTAAGTGGGCACTGACTGCATCAGCACCTAGTTAGGAGACTTCCCTAAGTAGCTTCTCGGAATTGGTGCTGCCAGGTCAGTTAAAGGAGAGGGCTGGTGAATGCCTGGGCTAAGGACCCCAAGCATAGCATTAGGAGAGTGCTGTGCTCTAGGAACACATTTTAGTAGAAGCTCAAGCTTCTTGCCCTCCTTAAAAGATGAATCCTGTCAAAAACAAATCCTACAGCAGTTTCATTGCTCACTTCCTGGCCAAAACCACTGTGTCATGCTACTAAGCTCAGTTCAGAGCTTAGTTCTGCCTTTTTGCCCACATGTGGCTTCATCTTTCTAGCTATGACAAGGGTGCCCAACAGCATGGCATCCAGGTGGGGAAGGTCCTATATTACCAACGGTGATGTTTTGATCACAGTCTCCACAGGCAATCACGGACTAGGATACCTTTTTCCACTTAAAAGGAGCAGAAAGCAGCAGCAATTCTCATACACAAAAGTGCTTCGCAAACTCTAACAGCCTCTGCAGCCAGGAGAGAAACGCCAAGACACTGGAGCAGTGAGAAGACCCATTGGAGCCCATAGGTGTCTGTTGTTAAACCCCAAATTGGATACAGGCTCCCAGAGCCCTGCACTCAGAGCACTGGCTGGGGGAGCTCATGCAGTTGGCAGCTGGCCTCTCATCAATGGAAATCAGAGGGCAGGAGAGGCAGAGAGGTACAGTGGTTTGCCACCAGCAGTCTGCTCTCTCACTTCTTGTTAAGGTAGAGACCATTGTTCTGCTTTAACAGCACCCCAGAGGCCAGATGCAACACTGGCCTAACTCCACCAACTCCTGTGGATTACTACCACAGAGAATTTGCCCCACACAACAGAACACTTTGGGAACATTATGGTCCTTGCTGCAGCTCTGTTTTAGACCTGGTAGGTGGCACAAAGCCACTGAACAGAGTCCCAGAGAAGAAGGGGAACGGTGGGGACACTATCCCACTGCCTGGTGCTCCCAGCGAGGAAAGCTGAGCTGCAGCCGGAAGGAGCCAGCCCAGTCCCTCGCAGTGACGCCTCCCAGATTAGAGAGGTATGTGGGCTGGAACCTAAACACAGGATGTGAAGTTCAGAGGAAGGCAAGGGGGAGGGGAGCAGGGAAGGGAGAGAGTGGAGGAAGATAGGCAGTTAACCCTTTCAGACTCATACCAGGGTAGCTGTTAATTGAGCTCTACCCTCTCTCCCAGCACTACGGGCACAGCCTGTCTTAAGAGAGGAGTGTGGAGCAGTAAGCTAACTCCTTCAGTCCCTAAGTGGGAAATACTAGTGCCTCCAATGCCAGACAGCTGCAGTGTACAGAGGCACCATGCAGGCCGGGCACTGCTCCCTACCCCATGAGCTCTTTCAACTCCATGTTTTCCTCTACTTGCCACCGAGTGAGATCCAGCCCTGAGCCTGGCCAAGGTGCTTCCCTAGCTGGAGGAAAGTCCCTCTGACCCACAGCTCCCCCCACTCCTTCTACCCTACCCCAAGAAGCTAAGTAAGGATGGAAGTTCCTAACTGGTTTCCTCAAGTTTAGGATTAGCTTGAGCAGAAAGAGATGTAAGCACAGGGTGGAAAGGGAGATGAGTTCCAGCCAGAACTGCTTGGCTCCCCAGGCCAAGACTCCCTATGACAGTCTCTCCGACCGACTGCCACAGGGCTTTGGGGAAGGGTGGCTGGAGCGGGTCTGTGGCTTTGCCTGCGTCCTAAAATTGCACCAATATAGCCAGATTAATGCACTTGTGTGGCAAGATGAGGGCAAAATATCAATGGACAGTGCTCAAACTGGGTCCATGCAATTTCAGCATATGGACCAGCCGTCCATTCCTGAGTTGTTGCTTGGATGAACACAAGAGAAGGACAGAAAAATGAAGGAAAGCAAAGAAGTCTGCTCTCCCCCCACAGAAAGAGGTGCTAAAGGGACTGCTAGGAGAGCTCAGGCTTTGCAGGGCTCCTGGTCTGTTGGAAAAGGAGATGGCACATGTGCTAGGCTGTGAGCATGGGAGGAGCCAATGGATACTTGAGAACTAGTCACTCCCTTCCCAAGACACTTGGAGCAGGAGTGGACAAGAATGGGACTGGAGGTGATAGTATTAGAGTCCTAGGCCTCTTGCAGCAAGGGGGCAGCATTTGACTGCTAAAGATGGAGGAACTTCCAATGTCCTATGCCTAGCCTAGGTGAGGTGATGCATCAGAACTAATCTGAAAGGTACCCAGTGACTTGGAAGGGAGATGCCCAACGAGGTGGGACACAGGCTCATTTTTCTCTCCCTCTTCACTCACCTCGGCCTTGTACATGCGGATGAGCCCCTGGTTGACTTTGGACCAGGAAGGTACAGCACTGATGTTCCACAGCTGGTTGGAGTGCTCAGCAAAAGGGCCGGTCTTCATCTGAAAGGCAGAAGAAGAGAGCTAAGGGAGTGCAGCCAATGGGGAAGTTTATGCACAAGCAATGACTCGGTCACGCTCGCCTCAAGCAAAAACTCTCACCAGGCACTGTGACCCGTGCCCCAGCCATCTCCAGGTGCTGTCCCCTCTTCCGATCCATGCCTCCCTCCTTTAACACCAACATCACATAGGGAGGGGGCAAATCAGCCCCTTGCACCCTTAAGATACTGGCCTTTCCCTGCTTCACGTTTCTTTTTAAGCTTTCCGCCTTTGCTTTTTTTTTTTTAAATAATCCTTAAAGAAAACAAAAACCCAAACCCCATTCCCCAAAGAGCTGGGCTCCACTCTGCCCCCATCCTACCCAAGGCTTGAGCCCTCCCCATGAACACTGCTGGGCTTTCCAAGAAAATGACTCATTCTCCTTTCAGAACAACAAGCAGCAGCAACTGCCACCGCTGCCAGCAGTGAATATAGAGGGCAGCGCAAGCTGGCAGCAACCCTAGCACTAGCATCTGACACTGCACCTGCCATAAGCCGAGACAGGCTGGGGGGGGCGAGCAGTTCTTTGAAGTCGGTGCCTTTTACAGTGCTGGTGGGGCTGTGAGTCTCCAGCTCGCAGCCGATACGGGGAAGGGAGGGCTGTGTTCTTTTATTTTTTTTTAACTACAGTGTTTGATCATTGCCGCTGGCTTCTTTCCAGAGAGGGGGGGAATAAATAATAAAGTTAAACTCACGGAGAACTGCCTACTGCCTACCCCACAGCCTGCCCCTTCCCTCCAGGAAGGAAACGGACCCCGAGGGCCAATATGACCGAGCGATGTTCCCATGACATCATAAGCCACAAGGCCGGAGCTCAAGCTAGGAAGGAATGTGGGGAACCAAGCAGCTTTCTGACCACTGCTCCGGGGCTGGGAGAACCAGCTCATCCTCCCATTCACACACCCCCTATGCAGCATGAGGACGGTAGTGGTGGGAGACTGGACGGGGAGAGGTTTATGGCTTTGAAACCGCCTGCTGCAAAAAGCTGCTCAATCTGTCTGGGGAATGGCTGCCCTCCTGCACTGCCTGAGTGGCATCAGTGTGTGACAGAGAGGAAGAAAAAAAAAAACCAAAAAGAAAAAACAAACCAAAAACACATTTGCTCAGAGGACAACGTGTCTCAAACCCACTGACCTCTGGGCTGGGGCATTGTGGGTAACAGTTTTGTAGTTCTGCCTGGCCTGAACAGCTGCAATGAGAGCTCAGATGAATTTCTGCTTCCTCTTTGCAGTTCTTCCAAGAAGGGGAATGACTGATGAGCTGCTAAGCTGTTCCTGCTCCCCTCTGTTGTGCATGTTTTTCTTGCAGATACAAAATTACACACTCTCTCTCTTTCTCTCTCTCCCCACTCAACGAGGCTGGTGTGTTTTTAAGCACAAAGATCTGGCACTGAATCACGGCCAGTGGGCGACTGAAGAGGGTGCACGTGCTGAAGGTGAGGGGGACTTTACACCACTGACCAGGCGCGGTATAGTCCAGCCAATATGACCATGTCTCACGTGTTTGGGGCTGGTTGCAAGGCAGTTTCGAAACGCATCTCCCCCTCTATGCAAGAGTCTGCTGTGTGCCTTTCAGCAACGAGTCTCTTTCTGCTTCCCGGTCCCCCCCTCCTTCACATTGGCACAGCTCTGCTCAACCCCCACCACTTTGCTCCTGGCCTGAAAGCATTAAGACTGGTGGGAAGCTCTGAAAAGGCTGGTTCGGATAGCCAGCCCCGTGCCTGAGCCATCCAGGACCCAGGCGCCTGGAGCACCTGACATCTGCGACCACGGCCTTCCTAACCCACGTCCGCACCAGCAGGAGAAGACTTCACTATTGTTCGGGATTGGGGAAGGGAGGAGAGAAAGGGGGAAGAAAAAAAATTAGCTCATTCCAGCCACAAAGGGAGAAGAGGGAGAAAACGAGTGAGCTGGAGAGAGCGAGCGAGAAACAGCAAGAGCGCTGCAGTCCCGCAGTGACCCCAGGGGAATGGAGTGAGTCAGAGCAGCCATATTGAGCAGGAAATTACTCACAGACGCTGCGTTCCTGCCTCTCTGTTCCCAAGAGAATCAGCCTTTTGTAAATGGTTCCTCTGTCAGTAACTGGAGGGGGAGGGGGACGGCTCAGTGTAGTGCCTTCCTGTCAGTTCCTTCCCTTCCAGCTGAAACCTGAGCCCTCCCTTCCCAAAACTCCAAATTTAGAAGCCAGATTGAAACTGAAATTCTTTGCTGCCTGCCCTTGGCTCTTAAAGGAGCACGGCCCGATTTCCTCCAGGCTCCGGCGTGCCCCTGGGCTCTCCCATCCCCACGTGCACGTGGCGCGCTGGGGATCCCTGCTCACCGCACCTCGCCCCCAAGGGGCATCCTGACAAGGGGCCGGCGCTGGCTTTGTCTACGCTGCGGCGCCAGGCAGGCCGTGGGCGCTAGATCGCTAGCAACTTTCAAGCCACCCCGCGATATGGCAGCTCCTCGGAGACCGAGGGTGCGTGCGCATGGCTCGGATCCTGAATGAGCCTGGTGGGGCCCGACTCCCTCCGAAGGGGAGGTTGTTCAGAAGGTCGCTGGGACCTGCTTTTTTGCTGGTCTCTGGAACAATGCCGAGAATGAGTATTTTCTGATTCAGCAGCTGCTGCACGTCACCCCTGCTCCCAAACTTTAATGAAGCTTCGCAATTCCCCGTGCGGAGCCTCCATGGAGGTTCCATTTTGCAACTGGGGAAACCGAGGCACAGTGGTTCACTTAATGCTCACGCTGTGGCAATGTTCAGAGTCCCACTGAGCTAGGCACTGTAGAAACATGCACAGAAACAGATCCTGCCCTGAACACCCTGCATCCACACCAACGACGTGTCCCCTGTCACACAACAACAGCCCAGCAGGAAGCCTCTCAATCCTCCCGACCCCCTGGTCAACACGCTAGCTCCCTCAAAACCCTCTTATTAAAAGGGGCCAACATCTTCAAAACTGCCCCACTGATATAAAGACAGGCTCATCTATTTCACCTATATGCAATTCCCATATTCAACAGAGGGCGCTAAGAGGACAGAGCCATAGCGTATCAGATCAAGCATCATTTTACTATTACTTTAACAGCCTGAGGTTTCATGTATATGTAGCAAACACCACAGTTTGTTACTGAGCATTGTGAATAGGCAAAACAATGGGAAAACTCAAAAGAATATACTATACTGGGTTTTAAGGGGAAGGCAACATCCCCACATTGCAGCTTGTTAAACTACTCAAAAGCGAAGAATGATCCAATACCAAGACAACACTTTGTCTCGTGTACAAAACGTCTGACGTTTGCTTTATGTTTATGTAATTCCACTAATGGGACGCAGGTTTTTAATCAAGGGGATTAAAAGAAAAATAGCATTAATATCTATTTTAAATCTTTTTCCCCCAGTTATTTTTCAGGGGGGTTTTGTTTTTTGCTTGTTCTCTTGTTGACTGAGGCGGAAGGAAAGCTGATGTTAAAAGTTGTGTCAGTGCCACCTAGTGGCAGTAGCAGCCTTCTCCAGTACCAGGCAGATGAAGCCAACAACCAGACTAACTCTCCAAAGAGCAAACAACTTCTAAATAATATTTATAAAAAAATATGGGTAAAAATAGCCCAGGTGGAAGAATTCAGGTTGCTCCGAGTCATTATTTGCTGCCGCCAAAGAGGTCCAAGAGCTGCTTTACCAGCCGCTAGGTGGTGCTATAACACCTGAACTTTTTAAAAGTCCAGATTCCACCATCACCTCCACTGAAGTTTGTGGGACAGAAACATAACCTGTCTATACATTGTTATAATAGCCCTAAAGCTGATTTAGGCCAGGGAATCAAACTATTCAAAGACAGCTTTTAAAAATCCATCTGAACCCACCCAACCCACTTTGCTTTGTCTCCCCAATACAATGAGCAAAAACACGTATTTGTAATAAACATTTTTGTATGCAAACATGCTCTTTGTCCCCAAATTCAAAATCAATTGTATAGCCTCATGGGTTCTGTTTCCATTGAGCAGGATCAAGCACCCTTCCCCTACCCCCACCATACACATCCA